ACCAAACAGTCTCTGGCTGCAGAGCATAGTTGTTTAGTGTGTGCTCAGCTCAACTCTACTGAACAGATTCAGATTGCAGGAGGAGGGCACATGTGGCTCGAGTAATGTATCTGAGTTATATGTAGGGTGCCCCACATTACACCCATGGTGTCACCACTGCCCCACTTGTTATGTAGTAAGGACCAGTACAGAGTGTGGTCATATCGAATCTACTGAACAGACAGTGGCTGCAAGAGGACATGTGAGGAGCTCGTCCAAGGGCTGTCAAAGAAGAGATGGAAGAGAATGAAAAAAGGTGATGAATTGAATGCAAAGGGAAATACTGTGCAAGCATTCACATCCTAAGATGAACATGTCTACAGAGGAAAGAGGTTTATGTAAAACAAGAGTTGGGTGAGGAGGATGAAGGAGCAGAACAAAGTGAACAGAGGAAAAAACACCCTCTGGTACAGAGCCACCCAACAACTAAGAAAGCCTGAGATCCAGAATCCATCAACAATCAGCTACATAAGAAAGGCACTGCTAAGAATTACTGCCAGGAGGAAAGGGGTGGTAGAAGGACAAATGACAAAATACTCATCACAAATGGGGAATAGATAAATACAGTGGAATGATGACAAGAATGTGATCAGAATAATGCCACATAGGTGCCTAATAGGTGACAAACTGGACATATTCCATGCATGAAGCCGGAGAGAGAATGTATCCCTTATGAAAAAAGGAAGTGTGAGAGTGAAAATAAGAGAGAGAGAGAGAAAGGATAATGGGAAGAGGAAACAGGGATCCAAATATCAAACAGACCAAGGCTAAAGCAATCAAAGATGTGCCAACAATAAGGTTTAAGAAGATGATCAGTATGTACATCCAGGGCCAAACCATAAGGAGGAGATGACTAGAGAACAAGGTACAGAGAAAGAAATAATACCAGGTCTGGCAGAGAAATTAACAACCAGAGCTTAAGAATGAGGAATAAATTACCATAAGAGAGGAAGCCCAGAGTTGTGAAGGGTAGCAATATCATCCAAAATGAACTTGTCAAATCAAGGGTAAATCCCACGGATAGTTTAGGGCATAAAGGTTATTCCATTGATAGAATAAAAACTGGCCAAGAGAGGCCTCCTACCACCAAGATTGAAGCTCATGGCAAAGGGTATGAATGGGCTCAGAAGTGTATGGTTAATGCCCGAAACAAAAGGGACCTGGAACAGGAGCCATAAGGATGGTTGGACCAGGACAAGACCATGGAATAGGCTAAGTGGAACATGACCAAGTGAATCATCTATAGGAGAAGGAATGAGAACATGCTCAAAGAAAAGCAAGAAGGTGATGTGGAGTAAACTCTTCAACAGCATCCAAATGTTGGAAGACCTGTCCTCATTAAAAAATGTACCTTAAACAGAGAGAGAAAAATCAAAGGGAGAGATCTGATTTGAGAGGCAGTAAGGAGATACATAGTAGGAGATACACGAGGACATGCCCCAAAGGAATAACTAGTAAGGAGAAAAGAACAAGATAAACCCAACAATTGTGAATCAGAAAGCAAGAAAATTAAAAGTAATAAAGAACACAAGCAAAAAGAGATGGAAAGGAACACACCTGAAAAGGAAATCCAGAAAAAGATTAAAAGTTAAGATCATTTCATGAAGGTACCACCCTAAGCAAATCAGGTGAAGGTCATAATCTAATAGATCATTCCCATCTGAGAAGAAATTCAGCTGATGAGATTGGAGTAGGAGACCCATTAAGAGCATGGTAATTCAAAACACCTCAAACAATGACTGCAATGACTTTGACAGTTAATGAGCCTCCAAAGGCCACAGCAGAAATAAAGTCTAAGTGTAAGCAATGTCCCACACTCTGGCCTAAACATAAATCACTGTCAATTGAGAACTCATGAGAAAAATTTAAAAGCTTTTGAAATAAAAGCTAAAGAAAATATAAATCAAAGTTTTATGAATGAAGCAAATTTCAATAAACTGAACATAGACATGAAATTTAAACACATCTGTGATCTTCAGTGCCGAGGAAAAGAATTAAGATTCACAAGATGCAAATGCATGGAGGGGGGGGGGTAGTATTCTTGGAGGCATTCACATGATGACATCATTATGCAGTGGTACAATTGATGTGAAATCATATAATTTTAGGTGTAAGTTGCCTCAAGGCTAGTGGCATACAAATATCTTTGGAAGACATGCTGAGAAAAATAGCTAATGTGTGTTGAGAGAGATGAATTATCATCTCAGAATTGTGTCGTCTAATTCTGTTATCCTCAAAAACAACACAAAGAAATTAGTGGCCTTTTCCCTAATAATTCCCTAAAGAACCTTGTAAACTTTAATAAGATAACTTCTATCTCAATAAGATAATCTCTCCATCCCCAGAATCATCCTAATAACTTTCATCTGAACTATTTCCAACGAGTCAATATTTTTTCTTAGATTAGAATACCAACACTGTACAAAATATTCCAAGGGTGCACTTGAAAACTGGAACTACTTAAACTTGCTACATAAACAGTGACATGAGCAAGTTAGAAGAGACCAACTTTATCACTAATTTCTGAGCAGGACAATGTGCACATGGAGTTGGTGGACCTGAAATACCTGCAAAGACATCTTGAATATGCAATTGAAACTATACAGAAGATGTTTTAAGTCATTACAGTGATACTGCTTTCAAAAGCCATTCTAAAATAATTAAGGTTATGTTTTAGTCTCTATAAAAAATGCATTGCCTGGAATAATAACACAGATGTTGGTCAGAATACTGTTGAGACAAGAAATCAGTAATTTACTGTTATAACTTGTATGGTTGCTAGGCAATTTGGAGTTGTTCAGGTGTGTATTGAATTATGCTCATTTTTAAATCAAACTGTCATTGAATATTCAGAAAACAATTTAATAGAATTAAATTATATTTTATTAATAAATGTGCTTTTGAATCTTAATTTTGGTTGTAATTAAGTAGAAGACTTCGACAGTGCTATATTTTTGGAAATACTACTTGTCTTTCATCCAATTTTTTTCCCGTTATACCCATCTCCTGGTCATCTCTCAAGGAAGCAGATAAACTTTGGAACTAAACTGTCAGCAATATGCATTGTTATAGAGAGAGAGCATTTGCTTTTTTCAAAGGATATTTCAGAAGGCTGAAACTATTGGACATGAAATGAACTGACTTAATTCCTTTGTTTATAAATGCATGTGTGTTGTATAATTTATCTCTCAAATCATGATGAGATTTAGGACTTCATAAAAATAGGTGCTGATAAATATGACAGTTCTCATTATGAATGGAGAAAAAATTAACTTATTACGTAACTGGAATCTTGTAGTGTCATCAGAACCTCTATAAGAAAAATCACCAGACAAACTTGATTTCCTAAATCACAACTTTCATTGAACAATAAAGCATAAAGCAGATAACTTGCTAAAAGCTTTAAATTCATAAAAATAAAGTCATTACTTCATTGAAAATTGTATTTTTTAAGACCTTCAGCAACATATTTATGACATTTCAAGGACTTGAAAATATAAAAACTAAGTTAAGACTTTTTAAGGATCTGTAGAAATCCTGTATTAGCTTTAATATTATTAACAAAGCACGACTTTGATGGCTTACATGACTTACCTACCACTATGCCTAGATCTGTTTCTTCACTTATTCCACTGTTCACATCTGACAAGTTTTTGGTACAAATTATCATAACCCAAGGGCAATACTTTGTACTTACTATAATTAGAGATCATTTGCCACCAATCATTCAAACTTACTAATTGATCTAAGTCATTCTGTAGGACCTCAATGTTTTCAATACAGTTAGATATATCTAAGAATTTATCTCTTTCCAAACTAGAGGATAGGTGTTGCTGTTTTCCCTTGATTTATTCCTTCTCACTTAACTCTCTCAATACAGGCTCGGTCCCAGGGACTGATCTCATAACTAGTTTTCATACTATAACTTTTAATACGGTATGCGTATGTATTCTCATGAAATTTTGCAGATTATCAGTAAACATTACAATGCTTTAGTATACAAAATACCAGATTTTTAATTAAGTTTTAAGATTTTCTTCTTTTTGACTGTTGACTGTCCAACATGCAAGGAATTTTGATTTTAAGATTAAAAATACTTTTATGCATGAGAAAATTGTCAAATTTCACATGTAAAATCTTCATTATCTCTTAATAAACTGAAGATAATTATCAAACGTTTTTTTAAAAAAACTTAATATTTTATCTGTTATTTTCACTATTGTATCTCTATGTGTGTTTGGTTAATTTGACTGACCTCGTAACCAACATAAAAAATTAGGAAATAAATATAAATTATGCTTTATTAATTCTAGAATGACTACAGATTATAACAAGAAACAACAAATGTTTAGTCTATATTGCTTAAATCTCATAACATCATACATCTATATATTTATTATTTTTATTTTATTGACCTTTCAGCCATGTCTAACTAATATATATTACAGAAGTTGAAATGATGCAGCACACGTGTACTCATGTTACTGTATCTAGTAGTATAAAACTGGCCTTTACAAAGTGACATGTCTTTAGTTTGTGAACCAGTATTTTGTAAAATACAGTCCAATTTTAGTTATAATAGATTATCTACGTATATATATATTATTACTATTTACAAATAAGTTCAACCTACCCTCTTGTTACTTTAAGTATATCTTTGATAACTAACACTAACTTTCAATCTTTCAGTTAAGCCTTAGAACTTAAGTAATTCATATCCATCTCCAACCCAAGGTAGTATTTTTAACATTCTCTTTAATGTCTTGCACCCAAGAAGAAAATTCTAGCCCTAGATTCTATGCTCCCCACTACAAATAATCTTGTCAGTATATTTAATGAGAGAGTTTCTAATTATTTAAAGTTCCTAATTATCTTCTTCTTATCGTACATTTAAAAGAAAAAGACACAATGCACATTCAAACATGCTATATGGGTAATGTAAATGAATAATCTAATTTTACCTTAGACCACTCAAGTAAACACTCAAGACAGAAAGAATGGTCACAGTTTTCTGGTGTTCCAATCTCCTGTCCACAAAGCTTATTTAAACAAATGGGGCATACTTGTGATCCATCACTAGAATTACTGCCTGTTTCTGTTTCATCTGAAGCTCTTGACATGGATTTTTCAGAAACTGAAACTTCTGTTTTCAGAATAAAAATAAAAATAATCTCATAATGACATGTATTTCCTCCATAACCATCTCACAATAAGTTTTAAAATGTAATCTTTTCTTTTTGCTAAAATCTTGTATTATCATCTCAACCTAGAAAAAAATGTAACAGTAATGAAACTTGGTGCAGTGTCTGTACTTAAATGTCACTTTTTACATATCAAAAGTGCCAAGAAGTCCAAATAGTAGAACATGGCAACTTTGGAGTGCAAAATATTGTTTTTTGATAAAAACTTGACATTCACTGTAAGTTTACTATTAAGGGACAAATTTGAGTACATAAAGTTTATTGTATTTGTACAACTGTATTTCATAACATATTAAAAATGCATTAAAGTCCACTAAGATAACCATCTTCATTTGTAACCAAAAAGTTTCTTTTTGTTCAATAATCATGAAAAACTGAAAAATCTCATTCAGTCTACAGAACTATATACCTTAGCTTAGACAAAGTACAACAGGAGAGAAAGTTTGCATAGTATCAGTTTGTAAGTGTATTTTATAACATACAAGAGTCCTTAAAAATGGGATTTCCCATTTTGGGGTAAAATTAGCTTTTTATAGCTAAAAATCCAGAAAAATGGTAATTGGTTACTAATATGATATTCATTACCCAATTTTAAGGAAAAAGGGTATTTATGTTTGTTTAATTACCCTACAATAACAAAAATCAATACACAGTCCTTGGAACTAATCATCTTTAGTTTCGTGAAATTACTGCTTTATCTGGAAATTTCAAATAAGTTTAGCAGTATGAATAATTTTATTTAGTAAAATATGATGCAACAAATTACACTTGTTTAGAGAACTAGTCTTAAGCTTTATATGGTCATATATAGTGGTGGTGAGGAACTATTCCAAAATTGCAAAAAAAACCTGCTTTAATTCAAGTCATTGTAACTAACATGATTTTTTTTTTTTTTCAGAACAGCTTTATGTACACATTTAGTCATTATTAATATCAATACATTCAGGCTGGATTGAATTTTGATAGCTACCAGTTGAGAAGCAAAGAGGACCATCTTCTTGAAGTTACATCTAAGATGCAAGCAGTCATTTTTACAGATACAACTACTAACTTTCATTAAAGCACTGTCACCATAAAGTTTCATTTTCATATACTTTGAACTGTAAAGTTCACAGTTTAAATCATAGAAAAATCTTTCATCTTTACCACAACACACCCAATTCTAAGCTGTTCATCGTTATCCTCAAGTATTATGGCCTTTTATTCATATTTGATCTTTTTTGAAAGACTGACATTTGTGGAATAGTTCCCCCTATTCTAAATATTAAGTTTATGGTGAAGAGCATACATGGCATAGAAATATATACCAGCAAGAAGTCTACCTTACTTGGCCACTCTTCATTTCTAAGCTTGCACATCCTTTCAACAGAATTCTTAAAATGCATTGTTCTAACAGGAACAAATTCAAATGCTTTCTTTTTTCCATTCATACCCATCTGGCTGTTCACAGAAAAGACAATCCTCTTTGAAACAAAATTCTTCTTTCTTTGAGCACAAAACTATTTGTCTATTTTTACTTTCAGCACCACTGGGACTATTGTGAACAGCAAATATATTTTGGTGTTTAGTATACAGTTGCTGGCAATGTTTATGGACAGTTTTAGCCTGTTTTTGATGGATATGTTATCATCCATTTTTCACTCGACGGGTTTACTCTGTCTGCACCTTTCTCCAAGAGAATTAAAGTTTGTGTCCATTTCACAAAGATAACTTGCATATAATGCAATTATTCATTAGTATTGTTATCTAGAAAATATTTATACAAACTATATCAATAATGACAAAATCGACTTTGCTACTGCTGTACAAATAAACATTAGAATTTCAAATATAGTGATCCCGATTTTTAACACACTGCAGTATCCCAAAATACTGAATATTGAACTTTATAAAACCAAGAAAGAATTTTTAATACTACAAATAGTTGAAGACACACAAAAAAGAAAAATATTTTCATCACCAAGAAAATATATTTGTACCATATAAATGTTTTCCACTGAACTTAAGTGATATTTTTATTGATATTGAATGAATGGTCTTCAGTTAGTTCCTTTTCGGAGAGTGCACTAGCACTCTCTATGTAAGGATGGCATGGATGCCAGTATTAAAGCAACACAGAAGTCATCTGGATTTTCTACTCTACAGTTCATAGGAACCTAGGCATGAAGAGCTACTTGGCAATGTCCCTCTATCTCCAGTGTGTGTGATGCTTTTCAGCTATCCTGAGCATCCCAAAGTTGAAAACCATAAAATGGCCAAAACTGAGATTTCTTTTTTCATTCATATCATCTTTTTTTAACAGGCCTAGCACCTACCTAGTTCTAGCAGTAATTTTAGTTTTTATCATCATTTGATATAGCAAAACAGTCTTCACAATCTTTGATTACCTATTTTATTATTATTACTATATGCAAAATGTATAATGCTTTAAAATACACTCTATAACCTTGTAACCCACATATGCCATCTTATAAAGAACATAAACAAACGAGTCTGAGTCATAGTCTGAGTACAAAATGATTCTCATGTTAAGATTACAAGTTTCTTTTTCATCTTAAAGTTTATAAATTTCATTTGCATTGTATAACTGTTAAACATGCATAACAAAGCTATGAACACTTGACAAACAAATAATTCAAGTTATAGTAAAAGGATTGAATTATATAACAAATTAACAGCTCACATCCATCACTTGCTAAGAATTTTTTAATTATTTTTTTAAATATATGTTTTCTTAAGTTTCTAATTTTTACATTTTGTTATTTTTAAAACCATATATAAAAAATATTTATAGAAAACAAGAAATTTAGAACTTACGTGTGAATCTCATATTTTTCTTGCAATCAGACCCAAAGCAGCAATAAAATTTAACCCTAATTTTTTACTAGGGTTATTATTAGCACTTTACTGAATTTTTATTTATTTCAATATTCAACTTAGAACAAAATCACAGCATGTAAAAAGCATACAATGTCCTATAACTATTATAATTTAACTGGCTTTCCAAACTAAGAGACTTAGCTGGTCAAGATGAACTCAGCAATGTCAACTTTAATCTGTATGCCAAACAGTTCAAAAGCTGTCATAAGAATGATACATAAATCAGTAACAAAATCTTTTCTTTCTATTGCTTATAAATAACATAAAAGCAAATGTCACAGAGAATTACTGACCTTTTTTGAAAGGAGGGCATAGTATATGACTTGGGCTTTCTAGTTTATATCTAAGTAAGACAAGATGATTGGAGATTATAAAGGTAAATATCATCCCAAAAATATATAATTGAATTAAAACCCAGAAGCTCAAATAGGGATGGTAAAAATCATCTAAAATGTACAATTTGGAGCAAACAAGAGTCATGTGATGTAGAAAAGCCAAGTTAAGATATTAAAATTGAATTAAATTTTTATTGTAACTCTATAAAAAGCTCGTGACATGAACACTTTTATTTACAAATACCCAGAGGGTTAATATGTTATACATCAGTACTATAAACTTTACTCAAATCCAACCATTTATAGTAAAGTTACAGTGAATTTCCAGTTGGTCATTATTTTTCATCAAAAACCCAACTTTTCCTCCATAAATGGGTGTGTTCCACTACAGTCCTATTTGAACTTCATAAGACATTTTATATGTTATAAAGACCATTTAACTAAATACAATGTATGAGTATTCATTTCTATTGCAACGTATTCCAGGTTAAGTCTAATATTCTGTAGAGTGATTAGACAACAATAAAAACATAAAAGATACATCATAAAAATTTAAATGGAAAAAGCTTTCACTTATATTTAAAGTTTAAAAAATCTGCATCCCTGAACTTTCATACACTGTATTAACATTCGTAATGGGTGTATTCAGAAAAATAAACAACTGACAAAATGAAGTTAAAATATTAATAAAAATAGGAGTTAAGTTGTTACATTGGCTCATTTCAAATAACTCTAACAAACCAAAACTGCCACATTTTGAAACTGCTTAACTGTATAGAAGGCACAACAGAAGCTGCTCATATCTCGTTAACCCTTTCGCAACAAGAGCCTCTTTAAATGCATTTCTGCATCAAGTCACTGTGTTACATTCAAAATTTAATTAAATGCCTTTAATATCAATGTATGTGATTGAATTTAATATTATAATGCGTGTAATGATTCGAAATTTGATTTTATCCAACTTTTAAGTCTCTTATTTCAAAATAAACCTTTGAAAAACTAATTAAAACTTCAGATGTATTGTCACGTGACCAACAAGCTATGAAAATTCTCTACTTTGACACAATGTATCTTCAATAATACAATGGCAGTACTGTAGAGGTATGTCTAGACAATGAGATGCTTAGATAACCTTTTGACTTTCATTTCAAAGTTCTCTAAATAAATACAGTTTGAAAAAGTAATAAATTTTTCCAGCCATTGACAGCTGCCATTTGCCCACCTTCAACAGATATGTTTGAGCTTTATAGTCTCCAATGTAGATGTTGCATACACGTGTACTTATTTTACAGTACAATCTAACAATTGGTATTTTGAAATTGTTGCCAAGTCTTCATCATGGAGTACATGAAATTGACTATTGTATGATTGGCTTCTTGACTGACAATAGCACTTACAGTTCTTTCTTATCTAAATATGTTATAGTTACAGATACAGTTTGAATTTTATTTAGGTCTTACTATTATATTTTTGTTAATTATGTATTAGTTATGTTTTAAATTGCATAATTAAAACGTTTAAACATTTTTTAAATATGCATCATACTTTGCATCTGTTCTCAAGACTTAAGATATTAGACGCTGAACAAAAATTTTGCAGAATGGTTGTGCATGTCTCCTAAAGAAACTGCAATATGTCTTGAGGACATCATTGACTTGCATCAAGATGAATAACAAGTTATAAATGACAAGAATGAAAAATAAAACATTAAAAATTAACTATACGTGAAAAGGAAAGACCCAAAATTATGAATATAAGCAAAACAACATATTCAAAGATATTCTACAAAAAATCAAAAGGTACGTTTTTTGTTTTTTCCTAATCTTAATCATTTCATTGCATTGTACATAATAGCTAGAGTTAGTACTATCGTAAGAAAATGAAAAATAAACATTTAACTTAAAAAACTTTGATATCCTTTTAGGAGGTTCTATAGATTATACAAATGAAATATGAAACTGTGAGACGAAGATAAGTATTTTAATACTTATAATGAAAATCACCTTGCACTCGATTTGTTAATAGTTAGTATGTGTGAACAACAGAAAAATAACATATCATTAGCAAAAACACTTGATTATAAAACCATCATTATTTGTGTACAAGATACTTTATTGCCCCTAATTAATGTCCCCAAGGACATTGCAAATTGCAAAGGGGGAAGCTAATTATAGTTTTTGTGCAGTTGCAAATTCTATTTTTCACATGTGATTTGTTGATTTCAATGATAATAAGCGTGTATGTGTGAACGTGTTTGTTTATCTTCTTTTTTTCTCATCAAAAATTACAGTATTAAAAGTAGATTATACATTGGATTACTATTGCTGTCAAAATTACAGTAATAAAGTGGATTACAGTAGAGGACTATATGGTGGATTACTATTGGTGTCACATAAGGCAAGGTTTATAAAAATTCTGGGAGGGTGGTATATTTAGAGAGGAGTGTTAATTAGGGAATTAGGGGCAATGCAGTACTTATGATCTTTAACAAAATTTTACCAGTTTTTGAGAGTATACCTTAAGAAATCTGAGTTACCTCATGTATTATTGTACAAGTGAAATTGACGAGCCCACCACAAAAGGTATGATTTTAAACAAACTATCTAATTAGGCCTATTGTATTGGGCATTTGGAATACTAAAGTAAATACATGAAATGGCCCAAAGTAAAAAATAAAAATTTGTCAGGACAGTATAAAACAAGTTATGAAACAAATGATCAAAATTAACCTGGTATAATTTTTATGTTATTTAAATTAATGATTAAATTCTAAGTATGCACAATTCCATGTTTTTGTAGAATTACAAAATTACATGCTTAATAAGCAAGTTACAGCTTTTAATTAGAATTGTTTTGTGTCATTCTATGACTATAGCTTATTTTTTTAGAATAACAAAATGAGAAAGGCAAGATAACATGGTCAATACATAAAATTTGAAAAAGTCCTGTTACTGGTAATCAAATCCCTATTCATCCATTTAGGAATGGGCTTTTGGTCATACAATAGGATTTTAAAATGAAATACAGCATTTTTAAAACAGTGTGATTAACCTAGTATTTCCTAAATTTCACTTGCATTCTTTTTGATGTAAGTTAATCTAAAAATCTAACTTTTCATATTTTGCAATTATGAAAAGCTAGGTTTGCTAAACTTTGGAACATGACACTTTTTTTCAAGCCTCTTAAAAAAAAAAATGTTATAAGAGAATGAAAGATGATATAAGGCCATCAGGTCTATCAACAACACCCTTATTACACAAAACAAAGGTAACAGAATTATGATCACTACTTATCCACTTCAGTACAAAATTTTAGGTCTAAAATTGTATCTTTCTAAACAGTCTTACTAAAATGTTAAATAACAAAAGCAATATTTCAAAACTTTAACAAATTCCTCAGCTTCTCATGAACAAAATGAATATTTCTAGTCATTTAATTACTCTACAATTAAAGTATACTGTAACACCAACATCAGCTAATATACATACAACTAAGTCTCCATTTCTAACTTCTTAATGTATATCAATGACTTCTGGTAATGAAAATCAAACATTTTTCTTAATTTCCACATCACAAAACAATTGCTTAACCTATTAATCTTACATGTAATAACATAGCCAATTATCATCTAAATTCATCACCAGTGCTTCACTCAAAGATATGTAAGGATAGTTTATACAGTCCCCAAGGAAATTTTCATGGTACAAGCTTTTCCAAATACTCTTGTCCAATCTATTCAAGTACAGCTCACCACTGACAGACTTTTCCTTACCTAAATACAGACCTATAATTTGTCCAGATCCTTTTCATCTGGAAATACCCCTGCCAAGTATTCATTTAATTTTTGTACATATTACTCACGGAAAAAAAAGTGAAAAAGCTTCCTGACACTTAAAGCCTCTTACAAGTCCTTTGTACCCAAGTCATAATTCTATCTGCTCATCTGTATAAATCAACATCTTCAACATGTGCTACTAAAAAGTATTTTATTTAGAACAGCAATCAAACTTTCTTTACCTTAACATTCAGCAATTTTTGCATCCATTAACCCTATAAGTCAAGGTGGATCAATTTGACCAAGCCTGTATTCAGGAAAACATTTAAACAACATCTCGATATTTACTAATAGCATCTTCACAAAATTTGGCAAGCTTTTGTAAAATATTACAAGTATGTTTTAGAGAGAAAAACTGATATTTTAATAAAGTATTTCTACTAAAAATTTGTGTGTGAATTTTCAAAACCTTTATGGAATCAGTTTGAATGAAAGGTGATTTTCATGCTAAGAATAAAAATACCTCTTTTCATCTTACAGTTTTCATATTTCATTTTGCAAAACCTCCTAAATGAATATCAAAAGTTTTTTGGTAACACTTTATATATCTTATTTTGCCTACCCTAACATTAACTGGAGAGAAATCACCAATACACAATGAAATGAAAACATGTAAAATAAAAAATTAATAATACCATTTTTTACTATTCGCTCTACAGTATTGATCAGAAAGTTCCAAAATATACAAATAATTTCACATCTATTTTATTTTAATTTTATGGTTTTAATGCTGTACTTTGTACCCAGTGGAGCAGTAATCTTCTCATCCAAAGCAATAAATCATGGGATGAGCCCATTAGCTTAAACTCAAGCTTGTAAAATTTTAGACATTTTATTTCACTGAAGTTTTGGTAGGTTAAGAGGAGACAATTCTAATTTTCAAACTTCAGTTACTTTTATAATAAATAGAACATACACATGAATAACAAGGACTTGTGGTACTACAGAATAATCAAGCTCATTTGCACTTGAGTACAAATGAAAGCCATTTTTCCCTAAGCCTTGTTGAGTCTCACAGATTTGGGTGTCCGAAAAGAATTCACATGGCTTTTAAATGTGCATTTTAGAAATAAAATAATACATGAATCATAAGAACAAGTTCCCCAAAACTAATATAATGTATCTGATTTTATATACAAGCTATAAATTGGTTTAAAAATTATGTTAAATATTCATAGCACAATTATTATGTTCACACACAAAGAAACTACAGGAAACTGTTATTTTTGAGCACCCAAGTAACTAGAATGAGTCTTATGTAGAAAAGAATCTGCTCTTCCCATTGGTTATATACATTCCATCCATTGTGTAAAGCTGATTAGTAAAACATTCTCAAATGTCAGAGAGAGAAGAGCTTCTATGGTGAGTTTGACAAATGTAATAAAAATCTCAGAAAATAAAGAAAGTAGTAGATGCAAATTTTAGATTCCTGTTGAAAACTATAGTTAGTTTGTGTTTCAATTGGTTAGAAACTGTAACTGTAATGTTAACAATTCTGAAGTAGAGTAGTAGCAGCTTTGACATGTCATCTGACACAATTAAAATTGAGAATTTTTAAAGTATTTTTTTTGAAATTAAGAAGTTAAAACTTAGATAATATAAAAAAGTTTAATTGTAAACTATGCTTTCATACCAAGTTAACTAACATACAGTAATAATTAAGTTGTTTAATTTTTAAATGTGACACCTTAGAAGGTCAAGACAGGCACACTTTGACTCACCCACAGCTGAAGAGTCCTACAGACTACATCACCATAGACAAAACTATTTAGTATATATCTAATTTGCAAGCTGCCAGTGGTTAAGCTGTCACTAAGTATTTCATTAAAGTAAAAATAAATTACAAAACAGAAAACAGATTCACTAAGCAACTCATATCAACAAACCACAACAACCGTGGTTTAAGGTGGCCAAGTCTTTATATTAATTTCCCAATAATGCTGTTTTGCACTGTGTAAAATTATTTTAATATGCAAAAATTTCTAAAAAAACTATCACGTCTGTACAGTGATTGTGCATATCCTTATAAATAAGTAACCATATAATGCTGGCAAGTAATTAACTCTTTTGAGAAACATGAACATGATCATCCTACTTAAAACTACTTCAGGAACTTATCCCATATGACAATTTATGACCTGTTCCTTTAACAAGACAAAAAAACTTTGTAGTAATCCTGCTACACATTATATTGGTTTAACAATTAATAGTGCACTCAGTTTTTATCTTTATTATAATTAGTAGTGACAGACTTGCATAACTTTTGTGATAAAGTTTAAAGTATAAAGTTTCAATGTAATAACATCATAGTAACTTTTAAGTACTTACACTTTGCCATAATGCAAATATTATTAGTTATATACTTATATTTCATTCTATTTTCAACTCTAATAATTAGTATTTCAAACAGCAGCATCATATCCAGAACAATACAAAATTGCCTTCAGTAAAGTAATTATAAATTATTTAAGTTTTAATTAGAATTTTTGCTCTTATCAACTTTGGTTTAGAAGTTAGTAATAATATTTTCACACTAATGTGGTTTTGTTTTGCTGCCTTTTCCTCCTACCACATACACATTGGCTTTGAGGGAGCAACAGTTGAAAAGACACTGCTTTAGTGAAATCAATGCCAATTAAAAAAAATAACTGACTTCTTCATACAGTATGCATAAATGTACACCAATACAACAGATTTTATATTTTCAGTGCAGCATTACCTCCAATTATTCAATGCATATGCCTTCTTAATAAACATCTTCAAACTGAGCAACTGGTAATCACGAGTAGTATCATAAAATTAAATTAAAGTCTGAAGTTCAAGTTTAAGGACAAGCTCCCAATTATTATTATAGAATTTAATAACTATGTATTATATTTTTTATCTAAGTGTTTAAAATGTAAGCAGTGTATGTAGTAAAGTACTGTTACGCGTTAGAAGTAAAAATTAACTTACTTTAACAAAGCATATCATAGCTGACTATTTGTTTAATTTAGCTGCTTAAAATGTTAAATTAACTAAAAATTTTTCTGAACCAGATGAAACCAATTACCCAAATGTAATCTCATAATTATACCCATCTCCCCATACTAATTTTACTATTTAGTATACTAGCAGAAATGCCACCCTTTGGGCAGCTGCTCTACAGGCTACTGTTTGTGCTACTAATTACTAATCATAGTATTCATACTACATTGAAATTTTTTTAGAAAAAATGAACACTTTCTAAGAAAAAGGATTTTTTCTGGAAAGTACTATACAGAAAATGTTGAAATTGCACTCTTTGGTTATAAACAACTC